GTCGGAGGCTAAAAATTGTACTGAGGAATTCTGTGGGGATATTGAGGCTTCGGGTTGTGAGATTTCTCGTGGATTGTGAATGATCCTTTAATCCGCCGGCAGTGATACTCTTAATGTTCCCGTAACACTTTTCCAACCTGATCACACACATCTACAATCCTACTGTACGTATACACATTATAGTCGTATATTTCCATTCTCAGCAAATTGATATTCTTCCATTGTCAACACATAAAAATACAGTATTCCCCTCGCGGCTTGCACCATTTTTTTGCGACTGGTCGGATGTGCCTAGACAATATAGCATATTGTTTGCATGCATAAAATACAGATTTGTGGAATGTGTGTCTTGCTCCGCGCATAAACCGGCTTTTAAAGCTGCTGCGCTTGAGAATACGTTCTCTGCTCAACTTGGAACGATTCTCCGTACTTTATTTGCGGCATCGTTGTCGCAGTAACATACGACTGGGCCTTGCTCACACTTCGCATATTTTGTCTACCAGCGTATGGCCGATAATGCTCGATTAGTTATGGCTCTGTGTGCTATATGTTATATGCATTTAGCTTTCCCATACAATATGGGGTATAGGGAATTCAGAGGCTTTTTGAAGATGCTTGGTGCAAACTGGGTTCATACACGGGTGTAACATTCAATCCCTCACGTTTGTCTAGCTCTAGCTGAATCAAAACACATCAAATTCCTCTTTATTTTACGATACTTTGGTTCCAACGATGACCTTCTTCAAGTATTTGCCCTTTTTGAAAATATCTTTTATTTATCTATCTTCTAGGTAACTCCTCGTTTGTTTTCTTTTTCTTTTATTTTCACATTGTTATACTGTCCTACTACCAATAGTCTGAAAGGTCCTGCAATATGCTGAAACTGTACGAAGCCATCATTCCAATTTTAAGATGGCTACTAATGAAAATATAGTCGCAAAAAATCGATATATAAAATACACCATAACATCACAATAGACCGGTAAATGCTACATCGGTGAAATACCAAGACCGGGTAAATGTAGAATTAAGGGAGACACTTCAAAATCGTCAGTCAGCGAGCATTCTTGGGAAACAGGACATAGGGTGAAGTGGGAAAAATTCGATTGAGTATCTTTGAAAAAAGACCTAATTGATACTCTTCAACCTAACTGATGGACCTTCAAATTTTTATCCAGGGTTTTTCTTTTCCAGTTTGATTTATTATTGGATCTCAAACGTTTTACTTCGTAATTTCAAGGCCAGACCGTTGTGTTTTATATTGTTTCCTTACAAGACAAACAACATGGTTCCCTTAAGATGTCAAAGTACTGTATCTCGCATTTCCGATCCATAAACAATACACATGCCGCATTTTAGTCGAAGATTGTAGTTTTGAGACTATGGACGAAGGTGCGAAAAAGGTGTACTTGAAGAAGGTCGGAGTTGAGACCGAAACGTCGTACAAGAAAGGGTAATTTTAAGCATATGTGCTTTTATTCGGCCAAAGAAATATGGCGGATAATAAATATGACAACCACGGGGTAATTTTCAGATGTTACGTTAATAAAACTCTTATCGCGATTGACACGTCTCAAGAAATTCGGCCGACCATTGCATAGTGTTATCTCTCAACTTTCTGAGAGCTAATTTCATCTATTCTCACTTTACTCAGGTTTCACCTTTAATTGTCCTTAAAGGTGAGCTTGTTGTTTTTCAGCTTCTTGGACCCAGTGTATATAACGCTGAAACAGACATTTCTCAAGGAAATATCTCCTCAAACTAAAAGGACAAAGTAGTTGCTTTCATACTGATTGAATGTCGTAAACATTCGACGTTCAATGTCTGTAAAGGTACCTATAAAATCTCAGTAGCAGTCCGTTGATAAGAGAACTAAGGGTAGGAATTGGTTATTAAAATTGTATATTGTTTTGAACTAGTGAAGAGAATATTGCCTGCTCAGACATTGTTGATACTAATTAGTAATAATCACCAAGATTTTCGAAATTAAGTGAATTGACACACCTCAACCACTGATAAATACTTTAACAATTTTTATTGCATCACTCATTGGTTAATGCGCCTGAATAATTTATTACTTCTACATAGGGATATTAAAGTACCATAAAGATATTTCAAAACAGCATTGATACTGTGTTTTTGAATTTACCCACCAACGATTATCCAACTAAAGCAATACCCTGCACTTGATGCATCATAGTCAACAGAATCGGACAAAATGTAATCGAAATCTACCTATATATTTCTGTTGATCTTCTCCGTCAGTGCAATATCGTCTATTTTACAGCAATGGCGCGTTTTAATGGTTGGCAGTAAACGTGACGACGTATATGCCACTGCCGCTGTTAGAAATTGCAACCGAATTCAATTCCACGGACAAAATACTTTCTACGAGAGCTTAGTCAATTTTACCTTTGATGCTACTTTCTATGGAATGGTCAACTTGACGTTTTCAAGAAATTTTACAATTTGCTGTACCAACTTTTATTTTACCTACAACGTCTTATACATTGCAGTGGACATAATACTTCATAGGATATAACATTTTACGTGTTTGAGGAACTGCCAGACATTCAGATAAAAAATGTTTCAATGGAAAGAATGGAATCATAATTCCATGAATAGAGAATAAACTTTTAGTATTTCAAAAACAATTTCTGAGCTATAAAAGACAATATTCGAATCTCTTAGTTACATAGAAAAAATAACACAGCATTACTTTCGAGTGATTTTTTTTGTGCCTGACAAGAATATGAAAGCAAATATTGGTACATATTTTATTTTGCTAACCATCTTGTTGCCAGCTGTCAGAAAATAAATACGCCTTATCTGACATGCCAAGTATCAATGCTGTGCAAAAGGTTGGATAACAAAAAAGTCATAGTAAACTGTCTTGTAGGGTAGATAAGACGATATCATCGAAGTTGAGTTTATGTATACTTATACAGAGTTCGGATGACTATAACTCTAGCAAATGTAATATAACATTATAGTCGCTCGTACTGTAATTATTTGCAAACAGTTTAACTGCTTAAAATATCCTTCTACAACAGTAAGCTGTGGGTATTTTACAGTTTCTGTTGTATTTGAGGAACAAGTGAGGAATAGATCCTCCATCTTTGAAGAATCCATTTTCCATTGTCTTAGCAAGCCTCCGTTCCGACTTTTTTTTTCGCAAAAACATGAAAAATTACTTAGATGGTTTGCGATAACGAGGTGGTGGTGGACTACCCTGAGGCCTTTTCACCGAATGAATTTCCACTTTGAAAGTGCATTAAATATTAATCAGGGTGAGTGAAAGGTGATCAATATGGGCGAAAGGGAATCGCTTGAATTTGTTCCGGGTTACTGAGAGATGTTAAGGCGAACGGAGGGTAGAGGGACTCTTTTTTTATTGAGGTCGATTGAGATGGATTCGCATATAAATCGTGTTTAATATGAAGATGAGATAAAGATGAAAAAAGCTACGCCGACTGATAAACAACCCATTTGCCTAGCAGAAATATGTACAGTCTACAATATGTTGTGGAACAAGTTCCGGGACAACGACGATGGGAATAGGTTTTTCTTTCAGCACATAGAGTTATGAGCATTACTCAAGGGTAGGTCTTATACATTGTACAGAGTGACTAGGTTATGGGGAGTAAAGTACTTCTTAGTCGTAAATAAGTAACCTCACTTATTTCCAACAGCTGCCGTTATTGACGAGACGTGTTTGTGTCAAATGAAATCCTCATTGATCTGAACTCAGACCAGCCGAAATGAATAGCTCTTTGGTACAATTCGGCCCTCCGCCGAAAAACCACAGTACTGTGTTTTGGAAACATTTAACTGTACCAGATTGCCGCGTCCCCAAACAGTAATAACCTCCAGGTCCCTCGCAAGAGTCTTCTTTTCTCCCGCTCATCGGCAGAGATCGGCTAGTCACTCTTAATTCCTGCATCCTGCATGTGGAGTGCTGTCATCAGCAAAGCTTTGAATCGGATTGATTGCCCATCGTCATCCTTGGGAAGCACCTGCGATGCCATTGTGGGATGAAGAGGAGAACGTAGCAATTACAACGGATATCTTGCAACCAGCCACCCGTCTGGAAAGCTGCTCTGTGAGGATGACTAATATCATTAAGCATATTTAACACAACACTTCTCACCCTGATGAAATGCTACAAGCACTATCGTGAAAGAATGTGTAGCGAACGACTGAGGGATTCTGGCGAGTGTGTTGTATTCTATAGAATCTCACACTTCGAATAGAAATGGCCGACAGGACGGTCCTGTCAAGCTTTTCTTCCTAAAACTAGCTATATAAGCTTCCCCATGTTCAAAAAGAAGCGCCCAGATAAATGCTTACAACTTGTTATTTTGGAAATGTATGTATCTTTTAATTAAGCTCAAATAGTGGCCGTATCCGCCGTCTTTAAAGTTGAGAATGTCCATTTAAATACCCACCATACTAAACACTTCAGAGTACTAAATGAATGAAGACCACATCCACCTTTTTTCAGACATCAATTGCTCTCCCTGCTTTACTAGAGACAGTGACGGCTTAATAAACAACAAATAATAATGTATTGAAGCACAAAGCGTTCTTCGATGGGTGTCTATAAGTAACGTAAACAATGGCTAATACCAATTATGGCACCGTTGAGTGAGCACAGTTGTTCCCATCACGCTTATTAAAGGGGTGCTTTGATGCTTAGCATGAAGTTTGTTGGTGGAAGCGGGATCTTGGTCTGAGGCTGTAGCGTTCAAAGCTGATGAAATTCCCAGGGATGCCGTCGGGATTAGATTATCCCGATCAAATTACGGTCAATTGAACACGGCTGGGCAAGAATTAGGTTTCACTCCACTCTCCAGTCTTACCTCAGGATAAAACTCCACCGGATCTAATGAAATGTGAAATTGAGGAGTTAGCGGCGACCAAGCGGCAACCCGAATACGATTTTATTGGCCTACATCTGGACCAATTGATTCGAATTGTTGCTACCAACGAATAGTTAGAGTTTTGTTATTACCACATAATAACATAGTTTGCGATTTTCATGTTTTAATTTTTGCCAATATTGACAAAGGATTGAATTACTAAATTCTGTTCCAAATATGCGTTGGTTACTCCTACCGTGGGGCTATAGGGGGATACAGGGGAACGGGGGAACGCCACACGGACTCTGGCGAGGGAACACGTGTGCATGCAACATGCACACATTCTGGCTCCGCCTACGAGATCTGCCGGGTGGTACCTCCGCGTTCGACAGTCAGAGACCGTCTACCACGTACGGACAATCACAACATCCATAGCCAAGAGAAAAATTTCCCTGGGACGGGACTCGAACCCGCACAGCGCACGGCGACTGATCAGGAGACCTGCTGTTATATATTATTTATAATTATTGCTTACTACAAGTAAATATGTATATATTGTACTTATTTATCTCATTATTAAGATAGCTTGTGAGTCTGATGGCACTTGATAAACAGGAGTATTTGAAAATGAGTGGTAAACGAATGATGTATCGATCTTCCATCCTTGCCGGACTCTCTCATGTAGCAGCAGCGCCCTTCTCCTACGTCCTGTTCTGTTATGCATATTCCAACAGTGTTGCCAGATGTTCAGAAAATTCTCAGATATGTTATACTTCAAAGTCTAATCAAATTAAATGTGGTAATATAGCATGGTTAATAATGAAAAAAAAAATGTGGATGCCTTGATTAGATATTAGTGATTCAAAACCGTGTCGTTATCATGACTTTCGAATAATGATGAGATTATGGGTATGCTGATATCCTGAACCAAATATTGCAATGAAATCGAACATCTCATGCACATTCAAACGTTAACGCCGCGAATCTGTGATGCCAATCGCCGTTGACTTCAAAAACCTAGTTCTCGACGGCGTGATCACATCACGCTTTTTTACTCCATTTGGTAACAGTCGACACTAAATCACAGTTCGTGGAATATCTACTACTACAAACCTTGATGAGGAAGGCCTATTCTAAGCATTTAAGTCAGGTTAACATAAAAAGCAACATTTTTGTCTCGCCGACACGAATCATGTTTTACGAGTATATAACCTAAATAGATAGCCAAATGAGGTTACAGTGTTGAAATTTATCTCCCATTTCTTTGTTAATAATTGCCAGTCGACAGCAGCGTTGTGGCGGTGGCTTCCTTGATAACAATAACTTAGGTTAGCGTACGACAGCAGTTGTGGAGTATATTCTGCTTTAGCTGGCTGCTACTGCAGCTGTATTTATCTTGTAAAAAAGACAAAGAAAAAGGCCATAACGGTTAGAACGGTGCCAGATAACGCGAAGCTATAAACTTGGATAAGTTAATGTTCTACACAGATTACGATTAAAGCGACACAACCACATATATTGTGAACATTGATAACGTCATATCATGGTGCTTTTCATAGATACATCAGATTCTATCTTTACTTGTCTTCAATTCTTCTGGCAGTCAGTTCTGAATACCTGGAATCTAAGTTTTCATATTTGAAATCGAAACAGGACCATCTTCGAGATACTAACAGAAGCTGATAGACATATGTTTGTAATATTTATTGATAACTGCAATTTTGCAATTGTACAACAAACAATAGGATCTTGGAAACGTACGGCTGCAGCCTCTAGGTCAGTGGTCACCAACCTTTCCAGTGTGTTGAGCTACTTTGATAATTTTGGAATAAACAGTGAGCTACCCAGTCGTAAGCAATGTATGCCAACTTAAATGAAATTATACACAGTAGTAGCGAAATACATGTGTTTATTTTACTAATACTAATAAACTTAAATAAACTAATGACTAATACATACTACATAACTACATCCATTTCTACCAATCGTAGCTGTTTGAAAAATAAACCAAATTTGTCGTCAGCTACAATGGCATGTTACATACGATTTAATAAAGGTAACTAAAAATAAAAAAAGTAACGCAGTATTTTAAACAAAAAAATGTCCAGATAAAAATGCGTGTTCAATGAGAAGCCTGACACGCAGACTTACTGACAATTTTTTTAATGTTTGGAGTATAGTTTGATACCGCCATTCGAGGATGTTTATCTTTAAGTCGATTACGGTATTTGTTTTTAATAAACTTCATATTTGAAAAAGAAGATTCACACAAATAAGTTGAAATAACTAACGCTTTCTTTCACTTTCAAGGCAACACGATATAAAGCTGAATATATATCTTTACTCACTGAAAGTCAGATATATTTTGTATTTGAGACTAATGATTTTAAAGCAAAATCATTTTGAAACGCAATCACTTCCATTTCCGTCGCAGTGATGTCTTCTCTAACATTTTGCGTTACAAAAGTTGCAAACTGTTGGATATCAATTTCCATGAAGGGTGAAACAACAAATTGCGACACAATAGCAATTTCGTTGAAATACTTGAAACGATTATTGAAGCTATCCTTCAAGCTAGCGACTATTTTTACATGATATTTACTGTCTTATTGTTCTAATGGACTTCTGAGATATCTTTTCTGGAAGAACATGTAAATGCCTCGTCTCGCTATCGATTGAGGTTTGTTCCCAAAACTCATGCTTTTTGATAAACGCTTTTATGTCAGAAATCATTTCTGCTACTTCTTTGTCTCCCCCCTGAAGCTGCAAATTGAACTATGACAGATATATCATTAAAACGTTTCAGCACTCAACACGACCCATCATAGCTGGAGCTCCATCGGTGGTCAAACGTACCATCTTCGATATTGGAGTTTCCTCAGAAGAAATAATATTTTTAAAAGAAGAAAACAAAACCCAGTAGTATGTCCTTTTAGTGGAATAAACTTCAAAAGATCTTGTTTAATCGTAAAATCACTAAAAACCGTCTCATCACTGTATTAGCAGAAAGTTGCATATATTTTATAGCAGACACTCTCGTCTTTAGTTAAGTTGTTAAATAATGAATCTGCAGCTTCTAAAAACGCCTGTTTTATCATTTCCCCGTCTTCATGAGGTTTATTTTTCTGAGTAACTAACTGGAACACCCGGTATGATGCTTCAGTTGCAGCCTTACTTTTGTCGATTGTTTTTAATAACATTGTCTGTTGTCGTATTAACTGATTCTTTAATTGTTTCAGTTTTTCCGTTCTGGTTGCAGAACGTAATGGGAATGATTTTTCAAGATTCGAATGTACAGTTTTATAGTACCTCTCGATATTCCCTTTTTTAGCAAGGGAAGCAGATCTATTACATAACAAACATACATTTTTACCTTTAGCCTCTGTAAAGAAATATTGTTCTTCCCTTTCCAAATGGAAATGGCAAGTCTTCATCTTCTTACTGCTGCTCATAACGTTTTTAATTGCAGGCAAACTTTAGCCCAACCGCTGAACTTTATGCCTTGCGTATTTATTCCGTTCAAAGTAATAGAGATCGTTCTCGAACAGATCGCTCACCGCGGTGTTGCCGCTGCTTGTGTATATTATGAGAATTTACAACATTTATGGAAGCGTCTATGATTTTTACACTTTTTTAAATGTTTTGTGCCACCCGAATTGCCTTTGCGAGCTACCGGTAGCGGTGTGATTCTTGAAAAGTTGTATTGTGTAACTACTGGAATGCCCCTCATAAAAACTGTACGACTTGCGACCCTCTGCAAATTTTCGCTAATAGGCATTGCGCAGCGTATCCGCTTATGTACTTAACACTGCTAATTCCAATTAACGATTTTACACCAGCCATTTTGTTCTGATTTATAATGGTGGCACAACGAGACAATCAATTAGAAAAATGTTTCAGTGTGGACATATAGTACAAATTCAGTATTGAACTTGATTTGTTATACGAATTACCATTATCGTAGTGCACATTCTAAAGGAGTTGGTTATTATACCGGACTCCTACAGATCCCTCGTTATCAATAAATTCAATATCTTCAGTCTACTATAAAGTTTTGACACCCTTCAGAATTCGTTTACCTATCAGAAACCAATACTTATTTTATCACAGAACTTTACAATACAAATAGTTTTCATTTAACCACATTTTTAGGCAACCCTAAATTGCTTATAATTTTATTTAAAAATCTTATTATTGTGCAAAGGGCTCAATTGTATCAACTCTATAAAAGTGAAATTGTATGTCCTCCATGAATATTTTTCCGCTATTATAATTATGTTGATTAACGTATTCTAGCTGAGGACAGCCAACCCAAAAAGGGATCTGAAAGATGCTAGCGCCATCTATAAAACAATAGTAGAACAAAACATTATAACTTTTTTTAAGTCAGTGGTGGTGCCGGACCATAATTGGATATCGGTGATATCAGCGTTGCGAGGCTCCTTTTATTTCCTAGTCAAACAGGAAAACGTTAAATTGAATGATCTGAGCCATATTACTGCTAATCAAATCATGACAAAAATAGACGATCTTTTTGGGTGTTAACCGCACTTTATTGTTTCAAGATTATTTCATAACAAAGACCAGTCACTATTTCCACTTAAATTGATAGAGTTGATACAGCAAATAGTCTCTATTTTCTCTATAGTCTCAAGTTGGTCTTAATCAACTTTACCTTTGAGAAGTTTCTCTCAATAGAAGGTGTACTGACTGCAACTGTGAGCATATTTTTGATTGTTGTGTAAGCATTTGGATAATACACTTCTTCCTAATTACTTTCTAAGATGTACTGGATAAGCTGTCTTACATCATTGACAGTCTGTTGAACTGGATTTTTAAAGCTGGAGTTCTTCATATAGTTCGAAAAGCTGTATATCGCCGGCTTCACCTTTCCAAAGTATCGTACACAAGTCGTTACAATGCTTGATACATTGCTCCTTTTACAAGATACAATTGCACATAATCTCTAAAAATTATTATATTAACTCGAGATTACAGATGTTTGAAATGAGGTTATATCAATGTTTCAAATAGAATTCTTACAATAAAGGAGTGAATCTAAGGGCCGTATCGTCAGTCGTTCCTATAATTGTATGACACATTCTTGATTTTCGTAATCTCTTCTCTCCTTCAGAAAGGCTGTGGTGTTTCTAGATTTCTATTATTCCGTATCGGCGTCAGCGCTCACCTATTGTGAGGCTATGTTTTCCTTTTTCAATTGTGAGCAATTTCAGGCTGATAACAGATGATACAAATCAAAAGCATGAAGAATTTGATGCAAATAGATACTTGTAACATAACCACAAAATAGAGTGCTGACACGGAACTGCAAAAAACTATGAAAATCAAGGAGTCTCTTCTCTCCTTCAAAGCTCGGGTATATCTAGATTTCTGCTGCTCGGTGTCGGGGTCAGCGATCTCATATTGTGAGACTATGCTTTCTTTTTGAATTGTAGGAAACTTCAAGTTGATGAGTCGGATGATATAAATCAAAAGCGTGAA